CGCCAGCCCGGCGACAGGGGCAGTGGGGCGGCGGCCGCCAGCCTCGGCACGCGGCCGCGGCTCGTCTGTGGCACCGAATTGAAAGGGCAGTGTTTGTGGTGGAGCACGCATGGAAAAGGGAACATTTATGCAGACAGAAATGCACCTGGCAGTTGGACAACTGTCGATGCTCGAACAAGAGCTGCAGCTCCACGGGCGAGCCTGAACCCCTGCCCATTTCCATCCAGAAGGAGACGGCACGGAGGGGGGGCAAACCTGCGGCAGCCGGTGAATGGTCGGCAGCGTTTGCCAGGCAGCTGGGGAGTGGCGAGGGATGGGACGCTCCTCGGATATTCCCTTCCATACAAGCTTTCTCAGCTCGTACCTGGTGGCAGGAGTTGTCGCTGCCCGGAGCAGACCTGTCGGGAATAGGCTTTGGTCTGTGCCGTGACTGATTCAGGTGAATTAATGCGGACAGCTCTGCTGAGAGCCCGAGGCCCCTGCGCGCAGCAGCTGCTGCCTGCATGTCTGCAGCAGCCAGAGCGTGGCTCGTGAGCTCGACTCGCTGTGCGTCAGCCTCAGGCTGTTTCCCTGATCAAGGAGTTCCTCCTTTCGCCCTCTGTAGCCGGCACAGCTGGTCAGTCGGGCTGCTCGGCTTGCCTCGGGGCAGCCGTGCAGCCAGCCCCAGGGCTCCCCCCACAGTGGATCAGACAGGTAGGATCAAGTTATGGTGGCAGCAGACCTCACTGGGGTCTGGGCGGCAGCCGAGCATCTCGCCAGCAGGGCTCATCCCCTCTGCCGGGACTTTGCTGTCCTGCAGCCAGGGTCAGTAGGTTGGACGCCAGCTTCCCCTCCTCTTGTGTCACCAGCTCTGTCACTGTCAGTGATGGTGACAGAGCAGTGCTGGGAGGGAAACAGATTGCCAGGCGGCCTTAAGCAGAGCCATGGTTAATATCAGAAGGTGAAGTCCTTGTTCCCTCCTGTGCGACAGGCTGTGGCAGCCAAAGGAAGAGCTGTTGGCAGAGGTTTTCCTGGGGTTGGCCGCTCCGCAGAGCCATTTTCTTCCAGCTGCATGGTGTGGCCCGTTCCTTAGGGCAGGCCCAGCCACGTGTGTTGCGAGCTGGTTCAGAGCCAAAGGGGCCTCGTGAGAGGGAGAGGAAATCTGCAGAAACTACATCTTCCACCGCTGGAGTGGAGATGGAGGCCCCTGCCCTCTGCCACAGACCCACAGCCAGTGTGAAGGTGCCTGGCCGAGGAGGCGGGCAGGGTGCACCACAGGGTGCGCGCGCTGCTGCCAGGCTCTGCGCTCGTGCCGGGCACGGCCCTGGCACTGCTGCCCACGGAGGGTGCGAGTGCTTCTGCGCACTGCTTATTCCCTGCAGGTGTTTTCGGAGCAGGGCAGCAGCAGCCCCAGGCGCGCTCCCACCTCGGAGCTGTACGACGTTTGCCTGGTGCAGACCGACCTGCTGGAGGCCATTGCCGACGAGGACTATTTCCTGCGCTGCGTGAGGAGGTGCGAGGAGAACTACGACCGCTACCTGGCCTGCGCGGAGGAGGACACCCCGAGCCAGCGGTGGGATGGACAGTGATGCCACCTCGCGGGGCCGAGGGGCTCTGGACTGGGACACCCCCTGCTTCCTGCTGCGCGCAGGCAAAGTCCCAGGCTGGGTTTCTGCTTCGAGCTGTCCCCTCTCCGATGTGTGACGTGCCCGCTCGGTCCTGCCAGGAACCTCCATGCCTGAGCACAAGCGTCCTGGGAGCTTGTGTGACGGGATCCCTGGAGGAAACAGCTTTCCTTTCCTCGTTAGCGCTGTGAGGAGCTGCCTGCCTGGCTGGCGGGGCAGGGGCAACGCAAGCAGCCACGCTAGTGTTCACACCTCCCTTCCCACTCCCGCACCAGTGGCTGGTGCGGAGCAGGTGCCGGGGTAAGCGCAGTGTTACCGGCGGCATGCCCAAGTGCCATTTGTGCCACGGTGTTCTCCCCGGCAGAGCTAGCGATGCCGCGTCACTTCTGCCTGTTTTTAAAGCAAACCTTTCTAGCTTGTTCCTGGTGTGAGTTTCCTGCCGGCCCTTGGCTCTGCCTGCGCTGGCGGTTGGAAAGCGCCTTTCCCAGTGTGTTCAGTCGCAGGGCTCAGCCAGGTGGGGACGAGGGTGACAGTAGTGGGTTTGGACCCGTGGGCACCTTCCCGACGCTGCTGAGACACCCCGGCACGGCTGTGCTCAGAGTGGGGCCGAGCTCACGCTCTGTCCCCGGCAGCCCCGCAGGGGTGATGGGCAGGGGGTGGCTTCTCGGCTCCGTGAGCCCGGTGCTGGGGTGGCTCCGGCAGCGTGCGGCTGGGGAGCGCAGA